GCATAAGTTTACCAGCCAGCGGTTGATGTGACTCGGAGTTCTTTGCCATGGCACATCTCAGACAGGATTTTACATATTCCTGTATGTCTTTGACCATGCCAGGCCACATGTAGTTTCTGGAGATCAACTTCATTGTTCGTTGCCACCCAGGGTGCCCAGCCACTAGAGTGTCATGATGTCTATCTATTGCCTTGATCCTTGCGGACTTAGGGACATAGATTTTGTCTTTGTAATGGAAGAGCCCGTCTTCCCATAAATAATGTAAATTGCTATCAAGGCGCACCTTCTCTTCTGAGGAGATGTCTCTCTTGAAGACTTCTAGAAGACCAGAGCCTTGTCCAATTCAAACATTGGCAACACTGGATTGATCTATCAGGGTGATGCCTTTGTTGTTATCTTTGATGCCATTGGCATGATCCTCTCTTCTAGATAAAGTGTCCGCTTTCCCCATAGAAGTACCTGGCTTTTGAATTAATTTATATTTAAACCTAGACAAGTACACCACATAATGGGCCTATCTTTGGTTCAAGTCTTGGGCTGTCATAAAATACTCCAGATTCTTATGATTGGTCCAAATTTCAAATTGGTGCCTAGCACCTTCTAAGTAGTGCAGCCAGTGCTCTAAAGCTCTCATGATGGCCAGCATCTATTTATTGTAAATTTGATAGTTGCACTCTGTAGGTGACAAACTATGCAATAAATAGACACAAGGCCTCCACAGATTATCTGGGCATTTAATTGATAGAACAGCCCCAGTAGCAAAATCAGAAGAGTTGGTTTCTAGCCGGAACTCTTTGTCTAATTCTGGAAATGCTAATATGGGCGCCATTGTAAACACCTGTTTAAGCTTATCAAAAGCTTCTTGTTCTTTGGCGCCCCAGTGCCAAACAATATCCTTTTTAGTGAGATTGTTCAACTGTCTTGTGATTTTTGCGAAGTTTTTGATAAACCTTCGGTAGAAGTTGCCTAAGCCAAGGAAGGCCCTAACTCCTCTGACACGAGTAGGTTCTGGCCAATCCAATATAGCTTGAACTTTCTCAGGATCCATCCTGATTCTGTTCTGGCCTATTATTATACCAAGGAAGTCTACTTCCTTCAC